ATTGAATATAACTTAGTTCACCTCATGTCCTGGAAAATTTCCATAAAAATAATTGACATTCAAAGAGCTGAGCAGAGGGGAGTTTGAGGCTGCTGCATAATATAAAGGACTGATGTAATACATATTATAATCTGTATCTGCATCTGTATATACACAGGCATACATAAAATAGTTTCCTATGTGTTCATGCACTAAAAAAAATCTTCACATCCATACAGGTAGGCTAGCATTATCATCCACATATTTTATGGATGCATAGGTTAAAATGGATAAATGATGCCATGGCTAAGAGAATTCATGCTTATGCTGAAATTATAAATATCAGGTTCAGAGCTCATGCTTGAAAACTAGAGCATTACAAGATGTGTGTTTAGAACAAGAATCAGCATACACTCACAATGAAAGATTTCATTAATATGGTTTATATTTTGAAAAGCAATATTAAAAAGTTTAAACATAGCTTTTATCTTCATATTGCTTGCCCATTTTGACATATAAATTATTGCTTACTAGCGCTCATAAATACACAACACAATGATATATACAGGGGCCAACAAGCATGAAATATGTAAAGGAATACATTGGCAACCATGTTCCTGGTAAATCAGAGCATTTTATACATATCAGTTCTAATAATGGTTGAGAAGTACAAGGTGTGGTCCCTGAGAAGTTAGGCAAATAACCTTGGCTTGGGCAACCTAGTCTAGTACTGTTAATGCAAGTTGACAGCATGATGGCACTCCAGAGAGACCAGAATGGACAAGACAAATAGCCTCTATTTGTGGATAGTGCCCCAATAAGTAACAGTTCAAGAATACAATAAATAGGCTATGCAAATAAATAGTCATTTAACTCTGCTAAAAAGGTTAATATTTACAGCTCATTTTGTGTACATTTTTACAGCTCAACACATTTTCACTGAGTTTGTTAAGGTTCCTCCTTTGCTCACTGGGATCCAACACACCAGACAACTGATGAAGTGTCTGCATCAAAACACTGCTGCTGAAAAAATTATCTCCCTCGCACTTTAATTGTGGATTCTCCTAAGAGCTATTACACTTCAGCAAACATAGACGAACAAGGGACATGATCCAGCCAAATGTACAGTGCAATCCTATGCACTACTCACAAGTAAGCCCCATTAAGTTCAGTAGAGCTTCCCTCCATGTAACTATGCATAGGACTGCAGTACCAAGTCCCATTGGTTTTAATGGGACAGCAAAGTATGTATTCAAATGCCTCCACTGAAGGCAATGAGACATAGAGCAGTTTTCACCAGCATGGTACACGCAAGTTGTCTTGTAATACAGTTCTCATCATGCCTGACAGTTGGCCACGCTCACTGCGAGATGCAGTCCAAAACATCCTCAGGGCACCAAGTTGGGGAAGACTGACTAAGACTGTGTAAAGAACAGCTTCTTTTTCTCCCATAGAGTAAGCCCAGCTTTATCGTGGCTTCACAATGTAAATGGCAAATGTACATACCAGCTGCTCGAATGCTGGTTCAATTTCCAGCATTTGATCCTCATGCTTCAGGAGAGCAATCCACCCTCCATATTAAAGAGCCATATGTACATTTATTCATTCCAACCTTCATTTGACATTGTATTTGTTTTCTTTAAAAAAAAAAAGTTGTTTTCTAAAGTGCACTACTGTTCCAGGAACTGGGGAGACATGGGCTTGTAAAAGTCACAGGCATCAGCTAATCAGTGCTACGCACAGCTGGTTTCTCTTGCAAACCTGCAAAACTGATTTTTTTTTCCTGAGCTCAGTCTTGGAGAGAAAAGCGTTCATTTTAATGGAACAGTCTAAGTGCGCTTCCAAAGAAGCCTTACCATTTGGTTGTTTAGCAGAAAGACAAATTAACTGAAGGTTGTGGTCATTTTTCCAACAGTTTAACATTGCCACGACATTTCAGCATTATTAAAAATAAAAGTTATTTCATAAACACTACTGTATGCTGATACCCCAAAACCAATGAGGATGGGTCTGTTACTCCTTTTCCCTATTTGTTAATAGACAAATTATCCACGTCAGCCAACCATTATAAGCTCTTGCATAGGCTGATCCAAATGTCTTCTGACATCATGAGATATTTGGCTCATGATTTAACTTTAACCTTTGGCTGAATGTTGGCCACATGGCTACTGAATTATCTTAGAAAACTATATCCGTTACTTCACTACACTGAGGAACATTTTAAGAACTGCCTATGGATTACAGTGTTGCTTAGCAAAGCCAGTACATATTTAAATAATTTGAAATTTATCCAATATTTGCATCATATCATACTCAAGAATAAGCAACACGTTTTTTCATGAAAGCAGATTAGGGTTTTCCAAACAGTAACTAATCAGGGACACCAGAGATGAACTTACATTATTTTCTTGCAAAGAAAAAACAACAATGGTGCACTTAAGCCAGCCTTGATGTGGGATGAACTAGACATTATATCATCAAACATCTGAATAAATGTACAGGCAAGGAGGGCATTTACAAATGAGAATGAGAGTGCAAATGTGTCCATAACTAGGTCTGTGTATGTAACAATTCTACCTACTACGTCTTCCCTGCAAATTCCATCATCCTCAGTCATTTTTTTAAATTTATATTCTGCCTTTTTCCTGCAAAGGGCTCAAGGCAGCTTACATCATTCTCCTCCTCCATCTTATCCCCACAACAACCCTGTGAGGTAGGTTGGGCTGAGAGTCTGTGACTGGCCCAAAGTCACCCAGTTGGCTCCATGGCTGAGCGGGGACTAGAACCCAGATCGTCTGAGTACCAGTCCCATGCTCTTAACCACTACACCACGCTGGCTCTCCCCACAGTTGAATCTCTCTGTCTTGGTGTTCTATTAAAAAATCCAGCCAGGTGTTTTTACAATGTAGAACCACTGATATGAGAAAGGTTTAAATCTATTTTTATAAATTTAAATCCCACCTCTACATTTTGAGATGCTGACTCAGTAATGCACAATGGGTTCCTGATTTTCCTCCGGAAATACCACCCTGTATTAGTGCTTTCAGGCAAACAAAGGGCTAGAAATCCTCTGTTTCATAATATTTAGTTGCACTCAGTGAAGGTCCAACTTGCTAACACATTAAAAGGTTTATGTACAGCAACTGTGATACAAACAAAATGCTATTTATTTGTGCAGACAGAATAGTGCATGCAGCCAACATTTCTCAGGTTTTTGTACAGCAGACTTCATTGCCAAAGAGACAAGCTTCTAGTCATTAAACGGAAGCTTGCCTCTTCTGCTAGATGCTGTTGTTAAGACTTCATAAGAATGTCTATTCATAAGCCTAGATAACTTTTCTGGCTTGTTATCAATATGTGCAGCCACCTACATAAAATAATCTACTTACTCCATAGGCAGGTTCCCTCATTTTACTGGATAAAAAAGGTAGGAGACATAATTATATATTCATATAAGCAAGAACAGCCAGATACCTTTCTCAAACTTACATTCTCTTTACCTTATACCTGTGCAGTATTTGTTTTCTATATTGGGGAAACCAAAATGTATTGGAAAGCATCTTCGCCCAACTGCAACAAAGATCTCTAGTACTTAAAGCTGGTTTTATTTTTCTTCCAATAAGATCTAATCCTCTGGGAAGAGCTTGTGCAGAAAAAGTTCCAAAATGATTATGCCCTAGCATCCACACCAAAAGAGAAAAAAAGTCCAAATGCTTCAGCAGACACACATTTCAGAGAGTTTGTTTTTTACACAGCGCCTCCCTGTCTGGCATAGTATCACAAAGAGTTATATTCCCATTGCCACTATAAAAGAAAATGTTGTACAAAGCTGCATATAAATATATTTTCACAGTGAAACATATTGCTTTGCCTCATACTTATCACAAGCTCTGGCAATTCCTTGAAAAACCTTAATACCATTAAAGTGAAGACATTCTGAGACACATACAAAGGGAAATTAATGTGGCTTTGATCTATCAAAATGAAAAATGTTGAGGAAGGAAACCTGTAAAATGGAAATGTTCACTTTTGAGTCATATTTTAAAACCAGAGCATTGGATCCAAGTATTCAGGTGAGGAGTCTGACACAAGCATTTCCAGTCAGTTTCCAGTGCAAGAAATCTGCACACAGTTTTATGACACTCAGACTTTTTCAAGGAAGTCCTTTCTCACAGAGATTATCACATTTTTCAAAGAGGGTGTGCTGCCTGAAATATAGCTATGAAGGTGTCAGAGAACCTGCTGGATAGTTCCCACAAAATCATGTATTTCAATCATGGTGTGTGATTTCTGTAATCACCACTTGGCATGTCACCCAAACCCAGGCGACATGGTTTGGAGGAGGAGGAAACAACCCTCTAATGGGTTATTGCAATGTTGTTTTCCCTTCCAACAAGCAGTGCTTGCCCAGGTTCAGGCTATAGAACCTGCTGCACCTGAACAATGCTTATAGAAACCAGGCCAGTTTGTATTGTAATTTAAATAAGGTTTTTTGTTGTTTATTTCGAATCACTAGGTAACAATAGACAAATCATTATATACATATGGTTTTGGAAGGAGGAATGAACAATTTCCTCTACTACCCAATTTACTGAATCACAGACATGCCTAAAAATATTCCTGTTTAAGCCATGCTTGGTTGGAACCATACCGGAGTAAGCAAGCGCACTGCTTCCTGCCTAGCTAGAGTAGCCGGATCACACATTACTGAGCAGTCCAGGAGCATGGCTCCCCTGGGTTGTTTTCCAAACCAGACACAAAGCAGAAGAGGCGAGTAGGCAAAACCAGGGCAACTCAAAGAATTTCATTACTTCATTGCTCCTTCCAAAGCTATCTGTACCTTATACAGAAGGAAAACTGGGCTTATGACATCCTAATTTGTCCAGTACTGCCTAGTATAGTGTGGTGTAGTGGTTAAAAGCATCCAGGCAATCTGGGTTCTAGTCTCTGCTCAGCCATGGAGCCAACTGGGTGACTTTTACCCTCAGCCTAACCTACCTCACAGGGTGGTTATTGTGAGGTTATGTCAGAAGAATTATGTAAGCCAATTTGAGTTCTTTCAAAGAAAAAAAGGGCAGGATATAAATCTAACAAACAAATAATAGTGGTGGCCCAGTTTGCACAATCAAAATAAGCCACAGTGGTTTATTAAATCATGCCATATGTTGGACTCAATTTCCATAATCACTGCTGGGGTGCAACGCATGGCTTAGTCCAAACCTGGATAGCATGACTTGTTGCAGGGTGAGTCCATATCCAGCTATTAACAAAGGAAGGTGAGATTGCAGCATGCCTAGCCCTCACATACAGCAACTGTGCACTTTTACATATGGAAATACTGATTTAACCTCTAAACAGGGATTTTTCAGGACTATCTCATGATTTAAAATTCAGGAAAGTCAAGGTATGAATTAATTAGCTGGATAAGCTCTTGGGTATATTCAGTCTTTCAACGTAGAAGTATTAACAATGTACAATGTACACGTTAGGTTCAACACAGATGCAGTGTTTCTTTTTCAGTGTTAACAATGATTGCAAATATGCCACATCGTACTTTAACTGTCACTGATTCACCAGGAAAACTCCGGGGATTCCAGTCACGTATGGATGTTAGTTCTGCTGGAGATCATAAGACTCTTAACAGAAATCTCATTCCAAGGATTCGGTGTGTGTAGTCACCACCATTCCTGAACGCCTATCCAGTATCAAGGTGTAGACATTCTGAATTTGTGAAAACACATTCCAAGAGGCATTGCTACCTTTCCTTTTTAGGAACTGCTGAGTGTAGAATGCCGTTACCTTTGGAAAGCTTCTTGCCCATCTATTTAACTGCTGGTTAGAGGTGAGCTCACACCTATCTAAAGGTAATTCTAATAATTCCTCCTGTTACAGCAACCAAAGAGTAAAACATTGGAAACTAGTTACCTAGATTAGAATAACTGGGAAAGGAGGAAAAAAACCACAGATGTTTCTAAAATTAAAAAAGAACCATGAGAAACAATGAAATCACTGAGCATTGTAGGACATGATCAGATTAGTGAGCTGGCATATCACACTAAGCCGCAAAGGGTGGGTGGTTTCCCCATTACTCCCAACAATTGCTCAGGTAGGGCTATCTCCTCATGAGGTATATAACCTTGTGCTTTATTGAGGCTTCTGCCTCTGTTTTCATTACAAGAACATTAGAGCACCCTTCACATAAGGTTATTTTTTTTCCTGGACATTTTCCTCTCTGCCTTTTGATATATTCCTGTATGTTCCATTACACAACACAAGATGGCACTGTGGAATTTAGATCTTACACAAGGCTTCCAAGGTGAGTAATGGCACGGTTTAGGAAACTACAAGACTTGCCTTGCTGTAAAAAACAACCACCACCACCCTGTGAAATTGCTGGAAAATGAAGGAAAATCCCTTGAGGAGAAAGTTGTGGAAATGACCTACAAACTTCTGTGAGGGAGGAATCATGAGCTCACAATAAATGCCTCATATGGTGGCTTGCCATGGCTTTCTTAGTCCCTCGCAGTCTTTATGGATGCTGCCAGCATGTATTCCAGGGGCCATTCAGCAGAAATCCTTGTTTCTGTACTCCTTACATCAGTGCCCTTTCTGCACCTGACCCACTAGGGATGCTGGCTCACAAGGAACCTCACCACAACACACACCTCTGATCTCTGAATGGAATATGCTTCTGAGCTAGTTATCTGTTTGCAAGTTTGTGTGTGTGGGGAGAGGGGGGCGGGTTGCTCTCACAAAAGACTGCCAGACCACATGTTTTCTATTGAGCTCTCTTGTCAATGTCCTTCTCAGTTTCATAATCCACTTTGGTACTTCCTAAAGTTAAACTCCTGGGGCCCCCACACACATCAGAACATAAAAATGGTATAATTTTCTGAGCCCTTATGAATGTTGGAATGTATTCACAATGTTATTACCTTTTTGGAAGTCTTGCGTTAGTATCCCCCTCTTGTCAGTGTCCTTTTAAATTTCATTCACTGCTTTGGTGCTTCCTTTGCTAGCATACATTTTTAAAGGCTGCTTTACATTCTACTGAAGTAACAGCACCCATCCCCAACCCTTTCTTGCAGCTGCCAGCTGCCTTCACCGTGCCCCTACTTCATGCTTGCCCACTTTAGTGGTCTTCGTCACTAGCTGCTATACATACATAAAGATACAAAACAGTGAGTGAGATCATTAAACATAGGTAAATGTCATGAAAAGGCAGTAAAACTAAGAGATAATTGCACAAACTCAAAGCAGAACAGTAAGATGGAGGGAAAAGCAGCAGCAACACAAGCACAAATGTGAGGAGTGGCAGGGGGTTTTGCTGGTACCGTTGGCTGCTCTCTAGATCTTCCTCATAATCCAAGGTAAAATTCTTCTGCTGGGTTCAGATGTCACAAAAAGCCATCCTGAGAACAAGCCATCTTAACCAATCCTACTACAACCCAACCCTACTTCAAGATGGAAACTCTGCTCTGGGTACAGACATCAATCTAAGCCACACTGAAGTCGCACATCGTAACAGCCCATCTTGGCTTACTGTGACATGTGAATCAGGTCAGTGTAAAAGCACTGTGCTTCTTACCACAAACAATAACATGGAATTTTGCTTCATAGTATGGATCGCTTTTGGAAATACAAAATAAAACATCAACTGATGTTTGGCTGTAATTTCACAATTTGTTTGAATGTCATTTGTATGTTCAGTCTAACATGTTGTCTTTCTTTTTTCTGCTTTAACTTTGCAGAGGCTCCTCCATATCCTAGGCAAGCTTTTTCAGTACATCCCTTTTTTTCTTTCTTTTTGGCAACAGTCAATACTTTTGGCAGCTTACAATTACTGAGGTACATGGCAAATTATAAGTGGCTTTCTCACACAGTGCTGCATGTATTTTAAAAAATCCTTCATGGTGATAAAGATCTTCTTTCAATTTAATGCTGACAGAATCTGGATTGAAATCTATTCTGGACCAAGATTAATTTCCAAGGAAATCAAGTTTTTGAACATGGAGAATGTTCCTCCTCTCTTTCCTGTTCTGCAGTTGAATAGATTTGGCATTTCATCATCCTGGAAGGCTGCTGCGAACGCTCTTCTTCTTCTTTACATGAGATGCCTAGACATGTTCTGGCATCAGCTACTGATAAAACTCAGTAATCATCTCTCTCCTAGGGAAACAGCATGCTTGGCATAAACATTCACTTAACTGAAAGTGCTACAGTCATGTGAGTCTGTGTGAACTCACACACGAGGTTCAATCCTATGAGAAAGCTCAAACAACATCTGTTGGTTATCGATGATGTGCAGATGATGGACATAAGGCTTCAGCTCATGATGCTCTTTTGGGGGCACTTCATTCCCTAAAGTGAGAAAAATAAATAATAGATCAGTTATTTTGCAGCCTTTTCTTTCTGAATTTATGCCCGAAGTACAGTTGACCATTACTCTGATACTTGAAATCTATCCAATTTCATTTTAACCAAGTTGGCTTCTATGTTAACAGATCAATAGCTTTAAATAGTTACTGCACATGGACCTTTCACCTCATCTGGGCCCACAGCTTTGGCTTTGCATATCTGCTTTCTTCCCATGACTTCTAGTCTAATGAGAATATGGGCGTACACACCATTCCTGAGCATCATATTTGTGTAGAAAAGGCTGAAAGTCACAACCTTCACTATGAACTAATTATCAGAATTATTGCAAAACATATTGGAATAATCTCTCCGACTTTTCATTATAAACCTTTTAGTTCATTTAAAAGATGTTATTTCGCAGCTGCCTAAATCTAAGATGAACCTTTCATGTGAACATCACAGATATCCTGGTTCTCTTACAATTTCCTGGACTTCGGCACCCAGAGTTTACATGCTTTGCATATTTGTTGGTGTGTCTGTATAGAAACACTATATTCATGTGACAAAGCACACTCTGGTTCATAAAACTTATATAGCAATAACCTCTTTGTTACAGGTCTCTTCGTTGCCTTAGGCAACAATATGCTTTATTCCAAGTCCTTGTGACCAGCTCAAGTAGAGAGATTTTATATTTGCTCAAAGTTTAGACTAAAGAGGTGAATAATACAATGTAATTTACTCACCAAACTGGTTGCGCCTGCAATGTCTTAATGATCGGACTGTGTCTGCAATCATGTGCTGTGAAGAGAAATATACAAAATAATATTACGTTGGTGACTACTAATACATTAGAAAGTACACTGATCATTTACCATGTAGCTTCTTTCTGGTTTGTTGTAACATAGGCATCTAGTAGCAGGTTATCACCTCCCAGTTCCCAGGAAAGGCAGCATTAAGAGATTTCAGCACTAGGTCTGGTGCCATTATACTCCTTACCAGTTCTATCCCATGGACAAGTATAAGACAAAGTACAATTCAGAGGAGTCTATTAGATAAGTAAACATAAAGAATGGAATTCTGTTCCTGAGAAAGGAAACAAATAAGGTTTCGCTTTGGACAACATGAAGGTTGAATAAGCTCCTGCAACCTTTTAAAGAGTGTTTGCTTTTGAAATACAGGATGGGCCAACATGGAGGGTTACTTTATCCTTGTAGAACACACACAGATGGTCACTGATGGAAAATGCTTCCAGTGACAGCCATACTGCAAGGGCTGGGCAACTTGGTCCCTCCCCCCGGATGTTTTTGCCTATGTGATCCCTCACAATTGGTTGTGCAGGCTAGGGATGATGGGAGTTGTAAGTCAAAACATCTGGAGTACCACAAGTTGCCCACTGGGCCATAAAGAATACTGTATTGAGAAACAGCACTGTTATTTCTGCTGGTCCAGACAGAGACATGGCACTCCACAAGTGCTTGGGGAGCAATCTGTAGGGGTGCTGAGGATGTCCCTCTAAGGAATTTTTTTTCAGAGTCTGAGGAAAGAGCTGAAAATGGTCTGATCTAGTTCCTGGGCTTGAGCCATATGGCTTCTGCACTCGCTGGGATGAAAGGTGGTTCTGTCGACATTACTGAAGGACAGCTATGTTTATTTCTCATTAAATATGAGAAATAGGATGAGAGAATGGCTATCATTTTGTCTGTAGATTCTATTACATCATCTTCAAATAGACAAGACTCCATTAGGGGGACCAAGACTAAACCAGAAGAGGTGGCTGGCCCATATCCCATGCTTAAGTCAATTAACAGCCTGATATAGCACTTGTCAGTATTGCTTAGGCTGAGTCCTGGTCAGTTTTGTAGAGTCATCTTATCCAGAGGGAATAAACTCTGAACAATTCTGGGGGCTTCCTGGCTCTAGAGGAGACAGCCCACTTTGATTTTGCCACCTCATGACAGGGTGCCTGGAAGGGCACTACTCTGGTAGACGTGTTCAATTGGGGAAATCTAAATTACCTCTAGTTGTTGTCTGCATGGATTCCTAAATACAGACTGCAGACGTAAAGACAGCATGCTTTCTGTCTTTATGCATGTAGAAAATCATTACAGCAGAAAATCATTATATAATCTTATGATTCATGTAACAGACCATCATCCAGCAAGGCCTCCTCTACACACACATTTAAGCCACATACAAAATGAGGAAAGTGGGAAAACAGAAGAAAATGGGAGGATAGAAAGACCAGAAGGATCAACTCGAGTGTATGTTAGAAGAAAGGACCTGGAGTGGCAAATTCTTACTTGTGCAAAAACAGGCAAAGAACTGGGATGGCGTCTAGTGCTGAAATCTTTGACACATGATCTCTGCCTTTGCTGGATATTAGGAGGAGATAACCTACTAGTTAACACCTTCTCATTAAATTGATAAGAAAATTAAATAAAATTCTGGTGCAAGACAGATTTCCCTCCCATTTTGGAAAATAAGCAGGAGATTAAAGACAACTGTGTCACAACTATCTTCAAGTATTAACTTGGGATTGTATTTAAAAATTTTATAGCAGGAAGAGTTAAGAGACCACTAGAATTCCACATGTAACTACAGGACAGGAACCATACACACGTGTGTGTGCGTGTGTTGTGTATGCACACACATAGGCAAACACACACAATATATATTATTTTCAGAAATGACTAACAATCAGCTTCTGCATATTTTCTGAACATGAAGCTGCCATGCATGCCATGAAGGTATTATTTAATGTAAAACAAACAACACCGTATCAGAAGCCAGGAGTCCATAAATTCATTTATTCAGTATACCTTAGGAATTGCAGTGGCTTGGCAAAAATAGCTTTTTGAAAAAGATTAGCTTCCTATACTGTTCTTTTCTTAGTCAATATAGGTCACAGATGGCTGCACTGATTAAAGAGAAAAGAAAACCTTTCCAATTTCACTGCACATGTACAGTCAGATCTTAGGCTGATTTGAACTGGCATAGAACCATGAAACAACATTGATTTACTCCAGCTGAGGGCTTGGTCTTTAATATTCTTCAATGATTATTTGATCACAGTTGCGATCTAAGCACAGCATAATTGGACAAAGCAACTGTGTTTTGAAATGAATTTGAAGCAACCTATCTACACTTTCCTATGGGATCATACAGGGAAAAGAAATCTTGAAATGCTTCACTAATGGATTAAGTTGGTTTCCAGAAGGATCTGTAGAGCCTTCTGGTTGATATGGCTGGCAATTCTGTCAAGGATCTTTCCAACTATGGAATATTTTATTCATTCGTTCATTAAATATATATCCCACAACTGCTGCGGAGCACTGACTCTATTGTAGAGCTGCTACAGCTCCGTGGTATACCTTAGGAGAGGCTTAAGTCAGATGGAGGAAAACTCTAACTGGATGTATCCAAACCCTGGTATGTGCCTACAGTCTAGCATATTTTGAGGCAGTGAGGGTATCATGGAGTTCCTCACTCTTCCTCCTCTTCTCTCTCCCATGCTATCTGCTGCTAGTGCAGCTTTTTACAGCCTCTTGCATGCTGGCTGCAGGAGTATGTTAGGTCCATAAAAGCCCCTCTGTAATATATTTGCTGAGCACTTCCAGGAAAAGTATCTTGCATTCTCCAGAACTTAGATTCTAGCATTATAGCAACTGAATCAGATGGGGTTCTCAGAGTACAGCTGGTCGAGTTTTCTTGGTTAAGTTTCAATTGATACACCCTGAGGATGTTGACAGGATTTCAGCAACCTTTTCATATTGGATCCTTGTTCCTCCTAGCTTATAAAAGCCAACAAGGAGGGGAAAAGTGGCTGAGCCAGGGAGCTAATTAATCTCTCCTGATGAGAGGGAATGACCCTATGCTTCCTGAAGGTAAAGCCACTTCTGAAGAAATTCTCACCTGACCCAGAGGATTTTAATAAGTACAGTAGCAAAAGTTCATTAGAAACTTTTAGAAAATTAGAATAGGTTTTGCACTGCACTGCATAGTGAAATTCAATAATCCCACCGTAGCAGTGTGAGTTATAACAATGCTGATTGCAGTGGCTGATAGCTCTGTGAAAATGTCAGATTCATCCAGCTGTACAAATGCAGTTATTCTTGTTAAAGCATGAAATCCTATAAACTCATTTAGAAACATTTTAGTTGCTAATAAACAAATCTAATAAAGGAGTCATATTCAGTATAAACTTCTGTCTGAAAACCGTAATATATGCTACTACTTTTGCCAAACTAGCTTCTGTTTGCTTTTCTCCCTGCAAAGTGGCATACTGAACAATGAAGTATATTTGACATGCAATGCAGTGTCTATGCCATGGCTCTTGTGTCTTCTGAGCTATTCCATGTGAAATTAAACTTACATTCTCCATGGAACATAAACTTATTTTATGTTCTGTCTCTTGCTGGGATTAATTGTGACAGCCTGGTTTGCATAATAATAGCTGGGGAAATAAGCCCTTGTCGATTCTCCTGCTCCCGAATGCATGCTGGGGTGATTATTGTAATTATCCTTAGCCATGTAGCTTGACATGTTGTGCAAACCTGACCATGTTGTGCAAAGATGGACATATTGTGTGATCTGGCCACCTTGCACAAACCTTGTTGCTATGGTTAGCAAGCCACCCAGAACCTTACTACTGCGCTGTTGTAAAGTTCTGGGTGGGCTGTTTGTCAACCATCGCAATAAGCTATCCTGGCCAGATTTGCATGACATGACAAGCCATACTTCTGAGGGTGATCACACAATCACACCCCACCCCACCCCGCCACCCTTGGAACACATGCAGGGAACAGAATATGGACCTCAGACCTCAATCCCCGCCTGTAAGCAGATTGCAAGAATGCAGTTCTCCTGCAAGTCTTCACTGCGGCTGTGTCTTGACCACTGGTGATAATATTGTCTGTCTAAACTTAACAGTATGGCTGGTGGTGCCCCCAGTTTGCCCCCTTCAAAGAACACAACAAAGCCTCTGCTTAATGGCAGAAGTGGCAGCTCACCATCCTTATCATCCATCCATCATAAAATTCATCTTTGGATCCCTGCTGCAGATTTTCCACTATAGATAGTAGCAGCAGCAGCAGCAAAATTTATAAAGTACTTTGAAACATAAGATGCCAACAGAGCAGTAGGGGCATAACCTTACAATAAAGTATGATCAAAATCTACTTCAATTTACATGTTAATGTAATGTACATCTAAGTTGAATGCTAATTTGGTTGTGTACACAACATTTAAATATTAGAGTTAGATTTATCTGGGCAAACATATGTTTAATGTAAGAAAAGATACGTATTTTTCCAATCCTTGAAACAAGACCTAGCAGTAACACTATATAAAAAGTAATGTAATATAAATAATTTAAAAATCTCTCCCCACCAGTATAGCCTTCTCAAACTAGTAGTGTCCAGATGTGTTGAGTACCACTCCTAGCATTGGCCATGCTGCTTGGGGGTGATGAGAGATGTAATCCTCTATATATGGCTCCAAGATGAGGAAGACTCATACAATTTGTAGTCAGGCAACCAAAAATAATAAGGAAAGATTTCACATAACGCTGCTAAAGCAAATCTCCATTTCTTCTAATGCAAATCATTATTGCAGAAACATGTGAAACCTTTGTCAAAATAATTGATTGGCTAATAGATGCATCTGAATATTTGGTTAATTTAATTGAACACTGAATATTTTACATGGAAAAGAAAAAATAGTATTACAAGAGTATAAAAGAGGCAAATGACAATAGCTTTTTCCTATGCATAATACTATATTTAGAATAGGAAATGTTACTTACCAGCTTTTCAAAGTTAACAAGGTTATCCAAAAAAGTTTTATTTCCTTCATGGATAAATGTTACATCTACAAGACAAACAAAAATATTTTTCATCATTTTTCCCCATTTTTTTCTCTGCAACATAACATAGTAACAGTATTAAAACATACTTATAAACATTGTTAAGTTTTCTGCATTTTTGTTGCTACACTAAGAAACTTATCTGATAAAACTAAAAGAAGGGGCAAAGTCTGGTGTGAAAAAGCAAGCTGAAGTTCCATGAATTCCAGATTTGCAAGTATAAAACATAAAATATTTGCAAGTGATGGAACAATGTCAACATCAAGCATTTTTTTTTCATTTTCTTCGAACAGTGAATCAAATTTGTATATTACTTCATCACTTGCTAAGGAGTTCATCTAAATACTTGCATTTCATGAATGTTTATTATTGTAAACTGCCCAGATAGATTCAGCTATGAGGCAGTATAGCAATGATAATGATAATATTGATAATACACTTCAATTCTTTTTAATACTGATTGTTTCTGTAAGCTACCTAGAGATTCCTGTTGGAATATTGGGTGGCAAAGAAATTTAAAAAACAATCACACACATTAAAAATCTCGGCTTTCCCACTCTGTAATGCATGACTCCTTTTATCTTAAGCAAGCCATAAATATGATTGCATTATATGAAAGTTATCTCCCAAGCAAGACTTCCACATATATATACTGGAATTTTTGCTTTTGAAGCAATGTTGAAAAAGCTGAAGTGGGTGAAATGCAGTTAGGACTTAAAAGAACCTCAGCCTAAACTTTCTCCAAAAATAAGATCAGGAATTGGAGGTCCTGAGATACAAACATACTCTTCTGAAAGAAAACACATAGGCCATCATTTGCCAACTCAGAAGCTGAATGTGGAGGTAGAGATAGTTTTGTCAATGGAATTACCCTGGAGTTACCAATCCCTGCTCTAGAAACACATCCATATGCACGACTGTTCTTCATGGCAGGCAATGGGAACGTGTGACTGTAGACCACAGCCACCATTTTCACAAGAAACTACATACTTCACACATACACCACAGTGATATGTACCACACCAAGACTCCTTTGCTCCCCTACTTTCTCTTTCTTTTTAAGCTGCTGTTCCTAATGTTAGTACATGCAGTCCCTGAGTTAAGAATGAGTTCCATTTCTGAGAATATTTAACTCAAATTTGTATTTAAGTTCGATCATGTATAGTCAGCCTTCACCATTCTTGGGGGTTAGAGCACAGAGCCCCCGTGAAAGTGAAAAAACTGTGAATATCTCTAACCACCTCCACTGACCCAAGCTCACCAGTGCCACCTCTTTTCAGCAAGTGAATGTCGAAGAGATTTCCTTCTCCAGATGTGCAGGGCAGGAAGGAATTCTTTGGAGGTCCCCTCTCCCCCCTTGCACTTCCTCCATCTCTATGGTAATGCTTTGGAGGCCATCCCTCACTCCCATTTTGTTTCCTCTCTTCCTATGGTGATGGCAATTTCCTGCACTAATTTTTTTAAAATATATATTAAGTTTTATGGCAGCTCATTTGTAAGTATGCGTTGTTTGTAACTTCAATGTTTATAACTTAGGGACTGCCTGTATAATAAATGAAGAACTACAAATGGTACCAATATCACAGTATATAGAAAGTGTAAATATGCTCCTAAAAAGCCTTTGCTTTCTCAGTTTCCCTCAGAACTGAAATGGATGCCCCTTGCACACGGTTGCCTTGACTGCAGCTCATTTCTCCTCACTTGCCACAATGCTACACGCTCTCTTCAGCTTCTAGTCATACCTGGAACCAAGTAAGATATTGCATATAATACACTTATTTGCCTGCCCCATTGCTAAGGCAAATGGAGATGGTGAAATGGCTACTGTATGCACTAAAAAAAATGGGGAAAAGGAGGCTTTCTACTGAAAAGGAAGAACAGGTAGTTGTGCTGGTGATTCTTTACTTGCTCCTTAAAGGCAGCAGTGAAAGAAAGTCTTATGAAGAATGTGGAGGAAACAGAAAAAAATGAAAGAAGGAAATTTGCTTTGCTGCCAACCATTATGAGCATAGATAAATCCAACAGAGCAGAAAATTGCATCTGAGCTACAACGTAAGAGCAAAACAGTGTTTTATTAAATATTTGAAAAAACAGCCAGATTTTCAAAAGCGGTATCTGTGAAACAACTGGATTTGTTGTAGAATTTCAATTATCGTAAGGGATGTACTATTTCCCTATTTAAGAAAGGGGTTGCTTGAAATTTCCTTTGAATATCTATATTACATATTTATAGTAGGAAGATATTAATTTGTCATTCTAGTGATTTGCTTGGAATGCCCACATCTTGGAACAAATCCAACTACGGTAGACCCAAATGACAGTAATTATTTTGTTTCTGCTTATGTTACTGACTCTGCTTTACTCCTCAGTTTAGGGCTATTTATAGAACCTGCATAGGGACTGAAGACCTAGGTTATGGTCTAAAGGCATATAATATGATAGCCTTAGGGCAACATCCCATGGAGAGAAGCATAAACCCCTGAACCCAGAGGCTCACGCTCATCCCATGAAGAACAGGAGCAGCAGAGGTGATCTTTGCCTCCTAGTTCCTGTTCGGCTTTTTCACTAGATGGCTGTTCCTTCTTCTCTAGCTGGGATGCTTCAGAACGGGAGGAAATGAGATTCAAGAGGCTTCAGGAGCTTGTACTTTCATTAATCTAGTCTCCCTTTTGTCACCTTTCTGTTTTCTGAGAGCAGCTGGTGTGGTCCTTTCTGCAATGGCTGCAAAGGGGCAGGTGAGCTGGAATCAGAAGTGCACTTCCAGCTCTGTGGGCAGAGTGCTATCTCCAGCTTCAGAGCTGGAAATCCAGACTCTCCTATGGTTCTTCAGATGATATGTGGGGAAGTACAGAATCATTCCCAATAATACAACTAAGTATGTTTCTTTCTGGTCAACACCTGAGTAAGAGACTTCCTTGCAATCTTATATAAGCTTTCTCTAGGATATGTGGCTTACAAGTATAATATATAAAGAAGTACTTAGATACTACTAGCAATGCTCCCAAGTATTAAGGACTAGTGAATATAATACAGGGTTGCAATTGAATATAGTCACAAAAATATACTGCAATTTCTGCACAGCAGAAACTCTTAACTTTTGTAAATGGTTTATCCCATGGATCAGCCACCTCAAATATCATCTTTTTGCAATATCATGGTTCTAAAATCACCACCCTGGGTGACTACTCATTTGTCAGTACATGAATTATCCTCTTGAGCCCTGTCTTGTCTATTTATAATATGCCCCATATATCAATTTGCAACATGTACATAGTGCCAGTGCAAAATATATGTTAAATATTACTACTAGAATTGTACAATCCTATGCGCATTTACTGGAAGCAAGAGCCATTGATCTGGTCCAAATATAATGACAATCCATGCGGCTGTTGTTGAACCAAGGGTTGTCATTATGTGTGAACCTGGAATTATGGGCTAACTATGGGTTACCTATTGGCTGTTGACCATAAAGAACCCACAAAGAAAACTCATGGTTTGCTGTTGGTTTGTAAATTCTGGGTTGCTTAAAATATAGGTTGCTGTTACATTGGGACCCAAGAACTGAAAGTCATTCAGAGGGTTGTTTCACCATGCTAATACTACAGTGCCATAAGGATATCTGAGGTACAGGAAGAGGGCAGAAAGGAGCAGGAACCAAACAACCCAGGACTGACTAAACAACCAGCACTTTGTTTAACTGTCTGAAAGCCAAACTCTAGGTTAACTCTGCCTAAGGAAGCAACCATTAATTAAACCATATTACATGCAAACTGTTCAACATTTAAATGGTCCTGGGTAGGAGTGTTGCCCAAATAACCAGAATGGCTTTACCCTTTAGTAAAAGGGATGATGCTTCACTGAACAGGAACTTACTTTCAAATTCACTTGCATAGGATTGCATTGTACCATACAGTATATATAAGGAGTTGATATGGACAAATAGTATTACCTTTAAGTAGTAAAGGCATGAAGGGGATTTTCGGAGACTTCATTTTCTTGAATGCATCCCTATAGGCTTTGTGATTCAGGGAAGGGTCCTGCAAAAACAATTTCATTGTAACAAAAAGGAAAGGAAATCAATATGCTTTTCAAAAAAGGCAATTTGAAATCTATTACATGCCCACAAGCTACACATATTCTAGATATAAAAGGTTTCCTTGGAAAATGTGGCAAAGAATGATCTCCTTAAGAAGAAAAGAAAAAAAAAAGACTGGGGATTTAGTCCTTCAGGGATGCACATAACCCCCTGAACGTGGAGAATTATGGACATGCCACAGAGGGTGGGAGGACTACAGAGACTGCCTCCATGCTTCTCTCACTCTGGAAGGCATTTAGACGGTTGATACAGCCATCTCAATGTAGTACTCCAGGGAGTGGTGTGAGGTACAACCAGGATACCTCATATCTTGGTGGCAACAGCCTCCTCTACTTCCTCCCCCTGCTCCACCTCAAAAGCCCTTCTCCAAGGTTTCTTTTCTTTCCACACCAGCTGTGAAGGGTAGAAGGGTATTCAAATGCTGATTGCTAGCTAAGAGTTTTTCAAATTTCAAGCAATTTTTTAACCTCATAGTTGGAAATCTGAACAATCCTATGACCATTTAGGTCCTATCCAGCAGCCATATAATTGTGCTGCCTAGGAAGCAAGGGAAATTCATTCACTTTGTGGGGTATCACACATCCCATTTGTAATATATAATGTCTGCTGAAAACTAAAGAGCAAATTCTAACATTAGATGTTGATTCTTCCATTCAATAGTAAAGAGAATACTGCTGGGGAAATTATTTTTGCCCCATTTCATAGAATGCCTACTTACTGTCAAACTTTCAAGTTCAGTGAAGAGCTTCTTAAACTTGCCAGGGATTCTCTGTAGTATATTAAAAAAAGGTACAAAAATGGGATTGGAGTATCCAGAAAAGTATTTAATATGTTTTCAGTGACTCACATATGGCACATCAAATAAGTAATACTAATCTGAGTGACCATTTTATCTGGTAGCTTCTATTTCTCTTACTACTAGAATTCCTCATTATGAATAATGTTTAAGAGTGACGCAACCCTTTTTTCCTTTTGGAATTACTCTTTTCATAATTCTTTCATGTCAATTGCTTCCTAGTAGCTGTGTTAATTTTCTTCAGCAATGATCTGTATGCATCATTTGTATTATGTCCTTTCCTAATTATACCATGTTTAAAGTAAAGAAGAAAAAAAGCCCTACATGAGAGCCAGCCTCAGCCTGCACTCAGTCTGCAAAGAAGAGATAGCTGTGCTTGAGGGGAAGGGGGAAGACCTATATGCACTTATTATTGGAAATGTGCTTTTCCATGATCAAATGAAAGAGTGCACAAACAAAATTAGAAAAAGGAGTTATTTCTCAAATGCTGGGCATTTGTGATATAAAAGGCACTAATGAATGAATGTCTATTCCTATGACTACTGCCTTGGGCAGAGGCTTAAACCACCACAAACAACTAAAGAACCACAGAAAATTTATAATAGGATTATAATCTGTAAACATGGACACAGCAGTGAGAATACATGCAAAATGAAATGCCTCAGCCTGTTCATACTAAGAGTTAAAAGTCATGGGATGCATTCCCCTCCTACTTCCCATTTCAGCAACACAGAGGCAGAGTGTCCAAAGAAAATGGAACCCAAGTACTGCTTTCCGTGCTCCTCTTTAATAAAATGTGCTATTATATGCTCAGGTGATTGATTTGAAGAGAAACCAGCCTATCCTTTTCCCAGATCAGACTTGGGTTAAGCCTATTCCCTTGTCTGCAGTTAACTTTTTGTTTTGGTAAGGTGTGTTTGGCCCTTCTCTGTATGCATGTTAAAAAGCTGATAAACAACAGAATGGAAAATGCACTTTTTTTTATTTTTCGATTTATATCCTGCCTTTTTCCTACAAAGGGCTCAAGGCAGCTTACATCATTCTCCTCCTCCATCTTATCCCCACAACAACAACCCTGTGAGGTAGGTTGGGCTGAGAGTCTGTGACTGGCCCAAAGTCACCCAGTTGGCTCCATGGCTGAGCGGGGACTAGAACCCAGATCGCCTGAGTCCCAGTCCCATGCTCTTAACCACTATTACTGCCATTAATAAAACACACTCTATTTGACATGGTCTTGGAGGGCAGTTCAGGAACTTTTAATGTACAGCTACCTTGCTGTAGGCTGGGCCCAGGCTGCCAGAACATGGAACACCAATTCTGTATCAGTTTTACCAATTACTGTTACATATCCTGGCCCAACTAAAAAAACATCAATTAAAGGTCCACCTGCAAAAATTCCCTGTTATTAGGTTTTCTAATACTGCTCTTTTAAAATGCTTTAGCAGTTCTTAAAATGTTTAAGTATTGCTATTTGGTGTAATATCTCTTGGAGTAATATCTGAATTATCAGGCCTGCGATTAAACATTGTTCATGAATTCACAAAGATTGTCTTGTTTCTAACATATTTCAAGTTTTATTAGCACATAAGCCAAGTTTTCACAGGTTATTCCTTTGAAATAGCTTATCATTAGTTATATAAATGAACTCCTACTGTAATGAGAAATATTGACCGGGTTTACACGTAAGGTGGCCCAAAATACAAAGCAAGTACAAGCTGCAGTTGGATTTATGGCTTATCAATCCAAGTGAACCCCACACTACGGTATAAACTAACGGTTGCTAACCACAAAGAATCCAGTGTTCATAACTTAACAGCAAATCAGGAACCCACTTCCTGGACTGTTTATGATTAACAACCCATGCCAGAGCTTATATATAATGTCAGCCCATTCATTCAACAGCAATCCATGATTCATCTGCTGGTTCACATAGCACAACAGTCCACCACGGATTAGTTTAATCACAGCGGTTGTTGCACTGTACTGGATACCTGCATTTTGTATCCAACAAGCCATAGGTCATTTAAGAATTGTCTAACCCACAAACAGTCCATAGTGTCTGGATTCACACAGCGCAACAGCCTATAGCAGTGATGATGAACCTTTCAGAAAGTGAGTGCCCAAACTGCAACCCAAAACCCACTTATTCATCGCAAAGTGCCAACACTACAATACAACCTGAAAACTGAGGTTTTAGTTTAGAAAAAACACCTCACAGCCAGTCCAAACACATCTATATATGTCCTTGGCAGAGAACTGGTTGGACATGCGAAAGCTTGGACGAGTTGCAGTTAATGACATCACTGCCTGGCGCCTTTAGTCCCTTTCGAGCATGCATGTGGCCCCTATGTGAGCTATTATCCAATGCTTGGCTGCTGCTGGTGCGACTTGGGCTCTGCAAGCCTGCTGTGGCACACGTGCCATTGGTTCACCAACACTGGCCTAAACCTACCCTGGTGAACTCCCCTAACCCTAATGCAGGGATAAAATTCCATTGAAAGGGGAGATCTTGAAAAAGCCTTCCTTGAGTAGATTTTCTGCACTGCTCATCATTTCTGCCCATTCTAAACACATTCCAACCATCAAAATCATGCCAGGACACCATGCTTTTCTAACCCTAACCGTACCCTGGTGCACACACCTAACCATAATATAGGGGTAATATGCTATTGGAAATGATGTAGTTTTGAAAAAGCCTTCCTTCTGTAGCATTTCCTGCACTGCTCATAATTTTTGACCATTCTAAGCACATTCCAACCATCAAAATCATGCCAGGACACCGCGTTTTTCTAACCCTAACCCTAACCTGGTGCACACACCTAACCCTAATATAGGACAAAAGTTCCATTGAAAAGAGGGCTATTTTGAAAAAGCCTTCCTTGAGTAGCTTTTTCTGCACAGCTCATCATTTCTGCCCATGCTAAGCGCATTCCAACCATCAAAATCATACCAGGACACCACGCTTTTCTAACCCTAACCCTACCCTGGGGGCACACACCTAACCCTAATATAGGACAAAAGTTCCATTGAAAAGAGGGCTATTTTGAAAAAGCCTTCCTTCTGTAGCATTTTCTGCACTGCTCATAATTTCTGCCCATTCTAAACACATTTCAACCTTCAAAATCATGCCAGGATACCGCGTTTTTCTAATCCTAACCCTGCCCTGGTGCACACCCCTAACCCTAATATAGCGGTAAAATGCTATTGGAAATGATGCGATTTTGAAAAAGCCTTCCTTGAGTAGCTTTTTCTGCACAGCTCATCCTTTCTGCCCATCCTAAACACGTTACAACCATCAAAATCATGCCAGGACACCACGCTTTTCTAACCCTAACC